TCTTCCCTTCCCCCCTCCTCCCTCTCTCCCATGTCCCCCCGGAACTGTCAGTCCCGTTGTTTTCTCCTCCAGATTGTTCATCCAGCCTGTCCTATCCAGACAGGCCTGCGGTATTCTAATCACCTTGTAATCATGTGAGAGTTGGACACTGAATGAGGAAGACTGAAGAAGAATCGATGCGTCTGCATTGTGGTGCTGGGGAGAACACTGAAAGTCCCACGGACTGCTCAAAGGACAACCCTAGCTATCTTGGAAGTAGTAAGGCCAGAATGCTCTTGGAGGCAAGGATGGTGAGACTCGGTCTTGTATGTTTGGACATGTTGTCATTAGAGACCAAATCCTGGGGAAAGGACATCATGTTCAAGAAAGTAAAAGGGCAGCGAAAAAGAGGAAGGCCATCAAGGAGCTGGACTGGCGCCTTGGCGGCCACACTGGGCTCAGCGTAGGAACCATGGTGAGGATGTGGCCCAGGACCAGGTGGTGTTCCGCTCTGCTGTGCAGGGGGTTGCTATGGGTTGGAGCGGACAACGACATCATAGAATTTTATTGCTCAGTCATATTAAAGCGATCTGTGCAACGATCACCACAGTCCATTTCAGAACATTCTCTGTTGATACGCATTGTTATTAGGTCCCCATTTCCCCACATCTTCCCCTGCCGTGCCCCTAGGTGATTATTAATTCAGTGAGTGTCTCTGTGCGTTTACCCTTCCTCGGTTTCATACACAGAAAATCCTACAAAAGACGAACTGGAAACAAACAAACAAAACCAACAACAATAACCAGACAAAACACAGAAAACCTCAATTACAAAGAAAACTAATTCTAAAAACTGAAACAACTTCTTTATTTTGACTGTTAACAGCGCCATCTGGGTTTGTCTGTACAACAAACAGCACAAGAAGCCACCAGCGCCATGCAGGCTGCAGCTCAGGGCTCACACCAGTCCCTCTCGCCCTCACACGGAGAACTCGACTTTGTGGGAGCCTGGGTGCCTTTGGGAGCTTTCACTGGAGTCCTGGCCTTGTCTGAAGCATCAGCCTTACTTTGTGCCTTGGCCTTGGGCCGGCAGAGCCTCAGACCCTTGGCAATACGTGCCCGAGCCCGCTTGCCAAGCTTGGGGTGGGCCATGTAGGCCAGGCGGCTGAGCTTGACCTCTGCAGGCTTCACAAGATCCTTGATGGCCTCGGCGCGAGCAGCCGCGGCCTTGGCGTTGTTGGCCTGCACTTTCTTCAGGCCCTTCTTCTTGTGCTTCTTGGTGAAGCGCGTATTCCTCAGGAACTTGGGGTCCACCCCCTTAAGAGATTCGTATCATTGTGACCGGGGTTTTTTGATGCCGTGAAACAACTTTAAAATGGGTCAAAAGGGAGCTCAAATGATGAAGTATTATAATTTAAACTAACCACATCTGCCATGATCCACTTTACAAATGTTCTCTGCTCTCTGACTGATAGCAAGGCTGTTCATATGCTTGGACTATGTTCAGAGGGAATTACTGAAGGCTTAATCCACGCAGGGACCCTTCAGATGGATTTTGAACTTCCACTATTATCCATAGCCCTCTGCAAACCATGTGTTCACAATGTAAGGTCTGATACCATTCCCTCTTTGGGCTTTGGATTTTATTGGATCATTGAATCACAGTCTAGTGTGCCTCTTCCATGTGGACTAAGTTGATGCCTTTAAGACCCCAGCCGCTATTCTTTCTGATAGTCCTGCATCATCTGTTTTTTCACCACGCTTCTGCTTTCTGTTTTGTTTTGTCATTGTTGTTGAGTTTTTTAGTGTTTGTATTTTGTGCTTTGCATCTTTTACTTTACATAAAATCCAGGATGGGTAAATATATACAGTAACTGGATTAATAATTACCTAGAGGCATGTTTACTTGTATTTTATTGACACTACCAAGGCATTGGACTTTGTGGATCATAACAAACTACGGATAACCTTAAGAGTGAGAATTCCAGAACACTGCACTGTGCTCATGCAGAATTTGTACATGGATTAAGATTAAGCTTTGTACATGGATTAAGACCCCAGATGCTATTCCTTCTGATAGCCAGGCACCATCTAGTTTTCCACTGCACTTTGCTAGAGCATCCATACCTTCAGTGAGCTCTTCATGAGGGTGAGCATCAAGCAGGGTCAGATCATGAGAACTAATTGTTTTTAGATTGGTGCTAGGATTAAGTGCAAGCTCAAAATCCATTCATATAAATCTATGATTTAGATATGTCTTTGGTTCACTTTAGACATTATGATTTTATGATAGAGAACATTATAAATCATCCCTCCTGGGCATAATATTGATAATATCATTAATTTAGCTGATGATATAGGATCTCAAAATATTGTTGAAAAAGGAAATTATACAAATATAGGCTGGCTTTTCAAACCACAATAAATGAACTGTTGACTTGTACAGATCAAATTTTAAGTGACTGTACACTATTTACATGGACAGTGGGGACTGGTGATAGGGAAAATCTTTCAATAACACACATTCACAAAGGCAGAATCATGCCGACAAGGCTAATGCATAGAGGGCATTAAAATAGTAAAGATACTGTAGTCCCTGGCCACCATTCCTTGAACACCCTCAAAGCTAGAATCTGTGCCAAGAAAGCCAAGGACCATGAATTCCATAACCTTCGGATAACAGTCATCTGTTTCTTCTCACACGTGGGCATTTCAGCCTTAATTACTTAAATCCAAAGGAATATGCTGACTCCTTAAATCTGCTACAGGTAAGTTTGAGGTAAAGCCAAATTTTCAAGGTAGAGTTTCCACATTGAATTCTACTAGTGTGGCTTATGAATAAGGTGACCAGATTTAAAGCGGGACACCATTGACCAGGGGGCGAGGTGGGGGGTGGGAGGGTGGTTCTTGATTAAAAATTTGGTCTATATGGACCAAATAGACCATTCCCTAGCTTGTCGTGCATTCTTTCCAAAAATCAGGACTTTTATAAAACGCCAAAAATCAGGACTGTCCTGCCAAAAACGGGACGTCTGGTCACCTTACTTATGAAGCCACCCTGTGTGCCTCGAAAGGTCAGAGTCCCGTTAGTCTATAGCACACGGCCTGGGTCACCAAGGGCTGGATAGGAACTAGGTCAAAAGTGTCCAATTAGGAACATAGTACTAAGTGAATGCTTCCCTTGGGTTCTATATAAGTATTATTAATCTTTGTGTACTCTGGGTAAACTAGGGAAACAAATCCACAGAAACACATGTATAAGAGAGAGTTTTAGGTAAGGGTAAGTGCACATCAAGAAAACATCCCAACCCAGGGCTGCCCAAGCCCACAAGTCCAATATTAGCCCCTATTTATGACACCAATTCACAAAGTCCTCCTCCATCTCACAAAACTCACGCAACAATGCCGACTGCAGGAGGAAAGCCGAGTCAGTGAACGTGTAAGCATCTCAGCACTGACAAGGGTCTCCACATGGCTGCTCCAGCACCCAGGGCTGCATCAGGGTAGGTCCGTGTGGCTTCTCCTCAGGGATTTCTTGCAGGAAGTGAGCCTTGGCAGCTGAAGCAGGGTATGGCTAAGGCAGCTGCACCCTGGTCCAACCCTCAGAAAGCAAGAGACCTGAGAACTAGAAAGGTGAGGCTCACCAAGCCGTTTATCCCTCTGACCTTCAATTAATCCCACAAGTGTTTATCAGCCAGGTTGGCACAATAAACGTTAACTAACTCAACCTTTTTCCCCCAACAAAAATAATCAGTATTAAACATTACACTCTTCAACTTTATATAAGACCAAGGGAAGCTTTTCTGATTTTCTATATTTTGTTTTAAAAGGCAGAATAAAAATGTGTATCTTTGCATCCAAATCTCCAGAAGTAGCCAGACATCAGTATTTTAAATAAGGACTAATGACTTGACAACCACTAACTTAATGCAGTGAATAACATCGTTGCCACTTGAAGGAATCAGTGCAGTCTTCAGTACATCAATTGATTTGCTCCCATAGATATCTGTTTCTCAATTCTCCTTCGTCTCCCTTGTTATTAAAGAACCTCCGTAAGCTATCTTAATAAGCTTCTCAACCGACTTCACGGGGTAGCAATGCTCTCAAGTGGTCCATGACAACCGAGAGAAAATTAGAGTCTGACCTGGCTATTCAGTGAGTTACAGATGAAGAGTACATCTTATACTATTTTGGACATTTGGGGGCATAGAGAGGGAAAAAACTTTTTTTTAAGTGATTGCAAGCATAGATAGAAGGAAGGTAATAAGTCACTAGACGTGTAGACTAGAGTTTCCTGTGGTCAGGCAGAAAATGGGTCCTTGTCTCCTCCCCTACTATAGCTCAAGGTAAGGGTCAGTGGCCCAGGTAGTCTAGAGCCTGTCCAGAGACCTACCACCAACACCATCTACCAAACTCAAGTTGTACTAGGCTAAATGTGCAGAAGTTCCCAAAAGGAAGGTGGTCTTCATATATCCATTCCCAATGTGGGACAGAACAGAAGGCTGACTCGAGGGCGTAGCTGTCAGATGAGCTGAGATATCGTGCAGAGGAGTCCAGATAAAGAAGGAAGAACAAAGTACAAAATAGGTCAAGTGACTCAGGGGCCAGGCTCTTGAATGCTGGGTACCCAGCTCGTGTCTTCTTTTTAGGTAATGGCTCTGTATGCGTTGATGGTAAGGGAAATAGGGCTACTTAGTAATGGACTTCCACTGTTTGGGGCAAAAGCCTTCCCTACAGTTTTATTGTATTGACCCAGCCCATAAGATTAGCTCCTTGCTTGCCTTGGTTTCCTGCTCAACGCTACAATCCACACTTAGTATAAAAGTCCAACCCAGAGCATTAGCTCACCTAAGGACTGTGACATACCTATGCCCTCCTCTAAATAAGCTCTCCCCTCTCGCCTCCTTCTGCTTTCTGGATGATTTACCTATGTGCCAAGTATTATCCCAATTCATCAGGTAAAATGTTGTGTGATAAGAAGATAATGAAAGGGTTTGCCAAGCCCCCGAAATAACAGATTGCTGGTTCTCCATCCTCAGGGTCAGTTTCTCCAGTTCTGATTCCACTGACTGTCCATTATTCCAGCCCCCTGGAACTACACTCAAGTCAGTGTAAGAGCTGACCGACAATACACACAGAGACTGTATGCCCCTAAACTTTGTATCAGAGTTGAGGATGAAGACACCTCTAAAAAGGTACCGACTGTCTATGTCCCTCAGCCAGGATCTGAGAAGGAAAGCAGGCAGCCAGGTCTTAGAGCCCCTCGTTCCAGACCTCTTGCTTTCTGCGGGGTATTTGAGTCTAGGAGATGGGATCTGAACGACAGTTGTTCGAGTAGACCCCACCACTTCGTTTCAGACATCAGTTAAGATGCCCCACATCTACAGCTCCTGCCATTTCATTTTGTTCTTTTAGCTCTTGACTCTTGGTTCTCACTCCGTGTCTCCGATTTTGGAATCCAACTCTCTCAGTGTCTGGGCATATCCAGTTCTGACACCTGATACATTGGCTTTGCTCCTTGACTTCACGCTCCCTTCCTTATCTGGTTCTGATACACTCCTACTGGGTCTGCTTCTGACATGGAAGGACGTGTTCCCACAGCCCTGACTCCCTCTGTCCTCCCTCCAGCGAGCATGGGATTATATCATTTGATCTCCTTTTTGACCCATTTTAAGTTTGTTCTAGTTTTTAGTATTTTATCCTTTCTTTTCAACTGAGGTTTTTCTGTTTTACTTTGTTATTGCTGTTAGGTTTTGTCATTACTTTCGTTTGTATGTTTTTTCCATAAATGAAATCCAGGATAGGTAAATCTATAGAGAGAGTAACTGAAGTAATCATTCCTTGGGAGTATGGCAGGGGAGATTGGGGAAAATGAGGAACTAATAACAATGAGGACAAGAAAGAAGAAAAGTTCTAAAACTGATTGTGATAATTATACAACTCTTGCTAATATTGAACTATTGAATTGTATGATATGTGGATTATGTGTCAAACAAACTGTATTAAAAATTACTGAATGTTGTTTCCATTTAAAGTTTATGGGCGCCTTCATTTCCTAATGCTGCTCTAGCAGAAATAATACCACAAGAAAGTGCCTTTACAAAGTGGGTGCATAAGCAAATGTGGTGAAGAAAGCTGATGGTGCCTAGCTATAAAAAGACATAGCATCTGGGGTCTTAAAGGCTTGAAGATAAACAAGCAGCCATCTAGATGAGAAGCAACAAAGCCCACACGAAGAAGCACACCAGCCTGTGTGATCATGAAGTGTCGATAGGATCAGGTATCAGGCATCAAAGACCCAGAACAACAAAAATCATATCATTCTAAATGAAGGGGAGTGTGGAGTGGAGACCCAAAGCCAATCTGTAGGCAACTGGCCATCCGCTAACAGAAGGATCGCGGGGAGGAGACGAGCCAGTCAGGGTGCAGTATAGCA